GACCTTGTAACTACAAAATGCTCCAGACCCTAAAATATAAAACTTTCCACTGAGTTTCTGAGTCACCCTGCAGTCATTCCAAGATTATGTCATAGGATGTCATTCCTAATGGTATTAAAAATCAAGATGAAGTCATAAATCTGCTCTGTGAGGTATTTCTTTCTTCCCCCCGCTTTGACCATAAATCTTAAAAGTAATCAAACTCTGCAAAGAAGCCAAGGTAAACTTGGGCCCAAAGTGGCCCCATATGTCTTTACTGAATTCACAGGATCGGCAGGCTCATCTGTCCCTGTGAGATCACATGGTGCTTCATGGCGAACTTTACAGAAAAGCGACCAGGCGAAGCGAGAGTCTTTGTTGTATTTACTATGGATTTTCTAAAACTCACATGGCAACGTCATAGGTGGATGAGGCACTCCACGTAAGAAAATTATTCAGGTAACTATACCATATGCTTTATGAATCAAATTTTAGAAGATTACAAGGAAGAGGCTTAAATGTATTTTTTTTTTTTTTTTTTTTTGGGGGACAGAGTCTCACTCTGTTGCCAGGTGCCAGGCTGGAGTGCAATGGCACAATCTTGGCTCACTGCAACCTCCGCCTCCTGGGTTCAAGCAATTCTCCTGCCTCAGCCTCCCGAGTAGCTGGGACTACAGGCACATGCCGCCACGTGCAGCTAATTTTTCTATGTTTAGTAGAGACGGGGTTTCACCACGTTGGCCAGGATGGCCTCGATCTCTTGACCTTGTGATCTGCCCGCCTCAGCCTCCCAAAGTGCTGGGATTATAGGCGTGAGCCACCGCGCCCGGCCAATGAGGCTTAAATGTATTATAACACTTCTCTATCCTCTTAAACAGATTACATGCAACAGGATTTAATTTTTTTTTTTTTTTTTTTTTTTTTTTTGAGATGGAGTCTCGCTCTGTCGCCCAGGCTAGAGTGCAGTGGCCCAGTCTCGGCTCACTGGTGTCTATCTCCTGACCTCATGATCCGCTCGCCTTGGCCTCCCAAGGTGCTGGGATTGCAGGTGTGTGTGAGTCACCGAGACCAGCACGATTTAATTAAAGAAAAATTTTTACTTCCCGCTACTCGGGATACTGAAGCAAGAGCATCAAGGGTGTAATGCACAGTGATTATGTCTGTGACTAACTACTGCGCTCCAGTCTAGGCAACACTGAGACCTCCTCTCTAAAAAACCAAAAATTCTTAAGCTCATTATTATGGACATTGTCTGTGTGGCATGTTCTATACCAGTATCTCCTGATATTGACACAGATAAGGCCATGTGGCCCTAGGCTGGTTGACCCCAAACTGGTTTTTGTTTTTGTTATGTAGTTTTGCCAGTAGATGTCATTTCTTGCTGCTAGCCTTGCTCCCCCTTTGAAAAGACCTTCCTCTTCCCCTTCTCTTTGGCTGTTTCTCTTGTGCTTTCAATTGGGAAATCAGACACTAAGCTTGTTAGAATCAAATTAAAATACAAGAAAACTGGCTTAAAGAAAAGCTTGAGGGACTACCTAAAATTAAAATGTTCAAGTTCTAGTTTAACTTCCAGATTCTTCGTCTAAGATACGGGTGTCAAAGTGTAGTGGCCTGTAGGTCGTAAAGTGCCCGTAGATTTGGAAACTGGCCATTTCGCTAAGTAGAAAATACACTGTTTGATAATGCTGTTTCTAAATGTTCAAGTTTGAAGCAATATGATCACTTTGCTCTTGAATCAGTAACTAAGGTGGACTTCAAACTGTTGAGGTTTTATTTTCTGAGAGGACCAAATAGTCATGAATGTGCCAAGGAAAGTCCTTAGGCTCTAAAAACCAGGTTTAGATCTAGGCACATAGAAGCCACTCAGTACATCCACAGTGAATTTTACTGCATTAAAACCCTTGGTCAAATAGACACAGCTACCTTTAGAAGGAAGCTTGCAGCTGAATAACTTGTCTTTCTTAACAGTGGAAATAGACTGGTTTCGTGAGGCTCCGCAGTGAAGGTGGCCAGCTTATTTGTAACCAGATAAAGTGTGCTCCTTCAGTCATTCATTCAGAGTGTGACCAGCGACACCACCTTGGAAAACGCAGGTCACACCACTCACCACCACGGAAAACGCATTTCAGGCTTCTCTACATCTCATTATCTTCAGCATTACCTTGCAAACCACAGTAAATCAATAACAGAATAGTTAAGTACCACAGGCTCTTCGTGTTTTGTTTTAGAAAATATTGCTCAAGGCTAAGAGTGAGTTCTGTTGATGACTTTTATTTGCTGTTGGGATGCAAAATGATCAGAATTTCAAATAGTTTGCCTCCTTTTTGTGCATTTCCTTATTTAAAAAAGGAGTTGGTTTCAGATGGAAGACGTTGGTTGCTAATAGCAGAAATACTTAAGAATAATTGGTCATTTTCAATCCTGTAGGAAACTAGACGAGGTCTGATGGCTTTGACCTTTGTTATGCTCTTTTCCAGATTTTCCCCAGCCAGCTTCCCTGCACTCCTCTTAGCAGCCCATTCCACTGAAGTGAATGAGGCTCAGATAACTCTGGAATATCACAGCTAAAATCGTTTTGAAAAAAGGGATGGTTGGCCGGGCACGGTGGCTCACACCTATAATCCCAGCACTCTGGGAGGTCGAGGCGGGTGGATCACAAGGTCAAGAGATCAAGACTATCCTGGTCAATAAGGATCTCTACTAAAAATACAAAAAGTAGCTGGGTGTGGTGGTGCGTGCCTGTAATCCCAGCTACTCGGGAGGCTGAGGCAGGAGAATTGCTGGAACCCAGAAGGCAGAGGTTGCGGTGAGCCGAGATCCGTGCCATTGCACTCCAGTCTGGGTAACAACAGCAAAACTCCATCTCAAAAAAAAAAAAAAAAAGAAAAAAGGGATGGTACTTTATTTAAACGTATTTACCCAAAGTTGTGATGTCCAGTGTCTTTAGCAGTTTTTTCCTCTATTGTTTGCTGATTTGATAGCAGCAAACATTTTCCACTTTGGCTCAGTCTTTGTGTAAGCGGTTTGTTTCTCCCTGTTAAGGAACTAGAAAAGCTGTTACTAAGATTTTAAGCAGGTAGCAGCCTTTACTTAATTTGCTGCTTCTTGAAATAAGATGAGACAATGGGTATGAAGTGCTTTGAAAAGTTAAAACTATGATTCTAGGAGTCAGAAATCTCTGACACGCATGCTGGGGGTGATGGTTTGTCAGTGCTCATTGGCACCTTGCCAGCTACCACCCCCACTTCTCTCATCTCACACTCACTCTTTCTGCTGTGAGTCATCACTGTCAGCATTTTTCAAATAATGTTGGCTTCATATCATTCATATGATATGCCCTTATTCTTTTTCAATTTTGAGTAGATTTGTGTTTATGTATCTTTTTTCCTTTCATATTTGTTTTCTCCTTAATTTTGATCATCTTCATGACATCTATTTAATTCCTTCATGTTCTTTATTATTTGCCATCTTATGATTTCTTTAGATTCACTTTTCGTTCTTTTTATAATTTATTAAACGCTTAGCTCAAAATTTTTTTTTTTTTGAGACAGAGTTTCGCTCTCGTTACCCAGGCTGGAGTGCAATGGCGCCATCTTGGCTCACCGCAACCTCTGCCTCCTGGGTTCAGGCAATTCTCCTGCCTCAGCCTCCTGAGTAGCTGGGATTACAGGCATGCACCACAATGCCCAGCTAATTTTTTGTATTTTTAGTAGAGACGGGGTTTCACCATGTTGACCTGGGTGGTCTCTATCTCTTGACCTCGTGATCCACCCCCAAGGTGCTGGGATTATAGGCGTGAGCCACTGCGCTCGGCTAACTCATAAATTTTTAATCTTTTTTCTAATACATGCCTAAAAAGCTACGAAATTGCCTGCTAATATTGCTTTAGCTGCATCCAACAAATGTTTACATGTAGTGTTTTCATTTTCATTCACTTCTAAGTAATTTTCAATTTCAATTAGGATTTTTTATGCCAAATTATTTAGAAGTTTTTTTTTATCTGAAAATAGTGAAAGATGTTTTGTTATCTTGTGATTATTATCTAATGTTAATGCACTGTGGTCAGAGAGCATGCTGTGTATAATATCAGAGATCTTTGTTATTTGTTTAGACTCCCTTAGAACATGGTCATTTGGTTTTCCCCGTGTTCTCTCTTTGCTTGAAAAAAGAGGCTAGCATTTGTAATTCTGAAATATGCTGCCCACTCGGCAGCTTCTTCTAGGTTATTAAACACCTTAAAGGTGAGGTCGATTAGTTCCTTTTGTGGGGTTCGAGGGCTAGGTTCTAATTTCTGTACCTTTTTTTAATGTCAGGGGCTAATTGGGTAATAAAATGCATATTAAGCATTCAGGGGTGAGAGCAGAAGGAAGGATGACATTTAAGTCACTCTGGGTGAGATTATAGGACTGGGTTAAGTATCAGAACTCTTTATTTAGTAGGACCTGATGCAAAGGAGCCCAACCGTTGGCTGATTTGGGAAAGGTCTGATAAAAAGAAAGGAACGTGTACGCTAACTATGCCTTTGGCTCCAGCTCCCTCTTGAAGGGGGAATTGTTGGGCCCCGGGGCAGAAGACTAAACTGTAAGTCAGACCAGGTATGAGGTTGGGAGGTGACAAGAGTGGCATAAGTAGGTGGGTTGTGGGCAGAGGAAGAGGAGGAAGGCTCTGGATGGGTCCTGGATTAGGGCCTGGTTCAGACAGGCAGAGAAGAGCAAGGTCAAAAGGGTCAATGGACAAGGAGGATTCTGGGTCACCGGCAAAGGCAGGAGGGGCAGATGGAAGGGAGAGAAGAGCAGAGATTAGGGAGGGATTGGTGTGTAATGCCTGGACGTAGGGAATTTCAGACCATTTGCCCATTTTGTGACAAAAGTTGTATAGATCCTACAGGTTAGAAAATATTCGGGCCATTTAGAACCACTGTCCAAGTTATATTGTGGCTAAGCAGTATTGCAAAGGAAAATAAGATCCTTAGTGTAAGGGTTATTGCCAAGTTTAAAATGAGGAAACTGAGGCCAGTATAAGAAAATTAAATGCCAATTTATTCAGCTCCTGGGCGAGGTTCTCTGGTCTGGGAAAAGGGGGCCAGAGAAGTCGCGCTGACTTCCTGGGGTGTGGGGTTTTTATGGCTATGGGGAATGAGCAACAGCTGGGTGCTCTGATTGGCTCCAGGGAAGCAGGATTGGGACGAGGCGGGCCCTCATTGGTTGGTGGGTTATTGGGCGGGTTTTTCCGGTGCAAGAGCCAGCCAGGGTTGCATCAGCTGGAACCTTACAGGGGAGCCATGCAGCAGAGCCTGGTGCCGGGTGCAGTCAGGTGCTGAGTGCAGAGGTGGGTGTGTCTGGCCTCCTAGAGAGGCAACCAGCCTTACATTCCGACCCTTTTGATGACATAGGACACCGCTTCTTTCTGGCTACTTCCTGCTGAATAGGGGCAGAGTGTGGGAGAAGGGTCAATTGGCTGGTGCCTTGGTTGGGAGTCGGACATAGGGGTGAGGTAGCATCTGGTTTATGGCCACCGTGGAAATTTCTCTCATGCAGGCCTATTAAAAACTGAGGAAAAAGAGGACTAGCATTAACAGAAGACAAACTATAATGATGGGGGTGATAATAGGGGTTAGCCAGGTTAGCATGGGGGATTGCCACCAGTTAAGAGGTGAGACTGATACATTCTGCTTCTTGTAGAGGTCTTCTCGGAGGTGATAAGAGTGTTGACATTTTCTTCTACGAGGCCTGTTTCATTGATGTAATAGCAGCGCTGCTCCTGAAGAAACAGACAGGTACCTCCCTTTTCTGCTGTCAGCAGGTCAAGGGCCTGTCGGTTCTGGAGAGTTACCTGGGCCAGTGACATGATTTGTCGCTGGAGGGAGGCCAGGGAGGGGGCTGACATTTCGATAGCCACGCGAAGCTTGTTCTCTAGTTGAGTGGCTGAGGTGACACTGTAGCCCAGGGCGCCACTACCCAGCCTGGCCACCACCAGAGACGATGCTAGAGAGAGAGTAATGACCATTGGGAGGAAGACTGCTCGTCTGTCTCGGGATTAGGGGAGGGTGGAAGGAGTAATAGAAGTTCGGCCTGTCTGTATACCTCTAACTGTGGGACAAGGTGACAGGCACACAAGGGAAAGGGAAGGAGGCATTAATAACTTTAGTTAAGGTTCCATTTCACCAGAAATATCCTCCTGGTGGTGCGTAGAGGGAGGATTTTACCTTTACTGTGGTGTTACAGCTGGGACTGGAGCTGCTGGTTGTCTCATAGCAGAGAGAAATTTTAAGGGTGTACTTGGAACAAGGGGATATCCGTTAAGATGGTGCCGGGTCCTGTAGGTGATTGTGACAGATTGAACCCGGACCTGAGGGAAACTGCAGCAAAGGGCGGGGGGCGGTTGCTGAGAGGCTCATAAAAAGCAGTTGGTGATATTCATGGCTTTAGTTAAATTTAACATGTTGGCTCCCTGCTGTACTAGAGTCAACCAAGAGAAAGACTGAGAGGTGTTAGCTGAGGGTTTGAATTGGTTGGTTAGGATGGCTTCATTTTGCAGGATTGTATGGCTTACAGATCTGAGCTGTTCTATTGTTTCAGGGACGATGCGGGTATAGGACTGGAATATTAGCCATGTTCCCTCAGGGTGGCTCCAGGTATAATCTTCGTTGACTTTACTGGACACTCCTGCATCCCAATGGCTGTGCCAGGGGTCACGGATGTTGAGGGCTAACGAACCACTGCTGAAGCGAGAGCATGTGGTTGGGACGGCTTGGAGGCCGTGGCTTGTGAACGACACAAGAGCTGTGTGGGCACCCCCCATAGGTGGTGTTCCACCAATGACAGTCGTCCTTGGTTTGGTCATATAGAAAACACAGCCCATGCTGAAAGTGAAACCCATGATTGCGACCGAGTTCAGCGCTTTTACCGTGTGGGATGAGGATGGAGACAGTAGACTGACAGCCACCTGTTTGGCAGTTTACCTGTACAAGATCATGGGTCCTGGGGGTGGGGCCCTCAGTCCAGGATTCCTGGGTTGCAAGGATCCTGGTTTGAGCTCTCGGGAGGCGAATGCTGTCACCTGGCTGGAGAGATGCTGCCGGGTGGGGGTCCTCTGGTCCCAGAATGACAGGGAGAGTGCGACAGCGTGTTCCCTGAGTAAGTGGCGGAGAGAGAGAGAAAGGGAAGGTAGGAGGCCAGTGGAGGTGGTTGCACAGGGAGATTATGGGAAACCAGGAAAGGCCGGCCGTACAGCAATTCAAAGGGGCTCAGGCCCGTTGGCCCCTGTGGGGTGGCCCAGACCCAGTCCAGGGCAAGAGGTAGGAGTGTGGGCCAAGAGTTTTACCTCAATAGCAAGTTTGGCCAAATGGTCTTTGAGGATGCCGTGGGCCTGTTCAACTTTACCCGACGACTGCGGATGGTAAGGGATGTGCAGTTTCTGGGAGGTGTTGAGGAACTTGGCGACTAGCTGGACTACTTGGGCTGTAAATGCTGGACCATTGTCCGACTGGATGGTGGCAGGTAGGTCAAAGTGAGGGATGATTTGAATAAGGAGGGAGGCCACCGGGTCTGCTGTCTCCCGGGAGGTGGGGCAGGCTTCAATCCAACCTGAAAAAGTATCTACAAAAGTTAGGAGGTAGCCGAGCTTTTTGTGAGTGGGCATATGAGTGAAGTCAATTTGCCAGTCAGGCCGGTAGGTTGCCCCACATTTGGTGAGTAGGAAACTGTGGCCTTAAGCTTTCCTGAGGCGAGACCTTAGAGCAAGTAACGCCTGCCTTGTGTACCTGCTCAATTGTTTGTTGCAGACCTGGTGAGAAAAGGAGGGGCTGTACAAAGCGGTGTAATGCCTTAGGCCCTATACGTAAGGATTGGTGGATTTCAGCAATAATTTTAGGGGCCTGTTTCCCGGGTGGGGAAGGGCGATTCTGTTATTTAGGAAGATCCAGCCCTGATTAGATTCTGTTCCCCCCTTTAGTATAAGGGCCTGTTTTTCTGATGGTGAGTATAAGGAAGAGAACAGGGGTAGCGGCCAACTTGGCATTAAAGATCTTGCTGCTGTATCTGCCTGTGCATTGCCCCGGGAGACAGCATTATGCTGGGCCTGGTATCTGCAACCTCCCTGGGCAATGATAAGGCCTGTAAGAGGTTAGAGATCTGTGTAGCATTGATTATGGGGGACCCCTTTGTGGTAAGGAATCCTCGCTCTCTCCAGAGGGCAGAGTGGCAATGGGTAATAAGAAAAGCATATTTTGAGTCAGTATAGATATTTGCTTGCTTTCCCTGTGCTAGTGCGAGAGCTCAGGTTAGGGCAATGAGCTCCGCCTTTTGTGATGTGGTTCCGTCAGGGAGGTGATGTGCCTTGAGGGTGGCTGAATCTGTGACTACTGCATAGGCTGCCTTTTGCCTCCACCGGCTGTTATTACTGAACTTCCATCCACATAGAAAGTAAGGTCTGGGTTAGGCAGGGGAAGGTTGGATAGGCTCTCTCAAGGTTTGGCAAGTGCATCCATTAGTTCAGGGCAGGAGTGGGGTGCGGAAGGGGGAAGGGATGGATGGAAGTGGAAGCAAGGTAGCTGGGTTGAGTGGGGAAGTGGGGTGAAGGCTGATTGAAGGATCTTCAATCTTGGAGGTATCCCGTACCAGGGGATTAACTACGTCAGGAGGAATAGGGGGTTGAGGTGAGGAATTAGGGCACAATGTGGTGTCAGGAGTGGCAGTAGGAGGTGGGCAGATGGTGGGCTTGAGTGTGGGAGGGCCAGTGAGTTGGAGAGTGGCCCCCACAGTCTGGAGAATGTCTTGTCCTAAAAGGGGGACTGGGTGCGAGGGTATGATTAAAAAAGTGGGAAAAGGCGTATCCCTCAAGGACACAGGCTAAAGGATGGGTTGGATTAGGACAGGAAGGCTTGCCGTCAATTCCCATGACTGAAACCTGGGAAGGAATGCTAGGTCCTGAGTAGGAAGGCAATACAGAATAGGTAGCTTCCCTGTCCACTAAGAAGGAAATGGACTTACCGCTACCTACAGCATTACGCTGGGCTTGGCAAGGGTGATAGGGGTCCTTCGAGTCTGGGCTGAGTCAGTTGTCCAGACGGCTGAGAAGTTCAAGCAATGGGATTGCTTCCTGCAGACCGGCCTGCCCTCCACATAGAGGTGTGGGGGGTCAGGCAATCACTGTGCCAACGTCCAATCTGCTTGCAGTCCGGGCAGGGCTTGGTAGGTGGTCGGGGACATGGACACTGATGTGCCCAGTGTCCCTCCTGACTGCACTTGAAACAGGGCCCAGGCGGAATGCCTCTGGAGTTGTTGGTGGGTTTTGATGGACCCCCTCCACCAGGCAGCTGGTGGGCTGCTGGCCTCAGGGCTGCCACAAGAGCTTGGGTTTGGAGGCTTACCTTTTGCTGTAGATGGGCCTGGTGGGTGGCCTCAGCCTTTTCATCTTGGCCATTAAAAACTTTAAATGCCATGTTTACCAGGTCTCGTATGGGAGTTTGGGGGCCCTCCTCAGTCCTTTTAAGTTTCTTTCTAATGTCAGCTGCTGACTGAGAGATGAAATGGGTGGCTAGGACTGTAGCCCCCGCTAAAGAGGCAGCGTTCAGCCGGGTATGAAGGATCATAGCATTAGTTAATCGGTTGAGGAAGGCGGCGGGGTTTTCAGTAGGACCCTGAGTTATTTCCCTTAATTTATCATAATTAACTACCTTTTGGGCTGCGCCTTGCATGCCCACTAGGAGGCACTGCAGCATTTGGTCTCTGCGGCGGCAGCCATCTTGACCAGTTTGATAATTCTAATTAGGGTTGGCGTCGGGGACCTCCGCCGAACCTACTGGCATCTGTCTGTGAGATGCACCTGATTAGCGTGCACCCGGGCTGCCATAATGATGCGATCACGCTCATCTGGAGTGAGGGTGGAGGACAGAATTATATAGGTATCATGCCAGGTGAGGTAGCAGAATTCTTTGGTATAAGCAGTAGGATTGGTGAAAAATGACCCTAGGCATTTCTCAATGGTTGATAGATCAGAGACAGAGAGAGAGAAGGGAACATGTACTCAGACAACACCCTCCACTCAGGTGACCTCGCGAAGGGGGCAAAGGAAGGAGGTTTCATCATTGGGAGCACAGCGCAAGTGAGTGTGAGCACTGACAGGAGGGGCTAGGTTGGGATGAGGAAGAGGAGGAGGGGGTTGAGATTCTGCATAGGGCGAAGGATTAGTGGATCTGGCGGGTGGGTCAGGGTTGGAAAAGGAGGAGGATGGGGAGGGGCCGAGGGCGGTGAGGGAGTTTCTTTGGCCAGGAGCACCTGAGCGGTGGTGCAAGAGGAACAGAGGGTGGGACGGGAGCAAAGATACCAGAAGGCCTAAACGTAGGGGACCTCCAACCATTTACCATTTCTTTGACAGAAATTGTCTAAATCCGTTAGAATGCCAAGATTGAAAGATCCCTAGGGTGGCCACTTGGACTGGTTGTCCAGAGGATACTGGGGCCAGGCCATGGTGGAGAGGAAAAGCAGTCTTTTCTTTTTTATGGAGGCCCAGCTTGGGTACATTTTGGACTAGACATCCCAGTGGCGACTTGGGGTCTAGGCAGGACTCCTGATTACCCATAATCCACTCTCTGTCATGGAGTAGTCAGGAGTGAGGAACGGCCTCCTAGACCTCAACACCTGAGCACCGGGGATTACAGGGAAGGATGGGAGTATAGGGACATCTCCACAATATTCCTGTCTTTTGGGACAGGGGAGCAGGGGCACTGGGACATCTCCACGAGACCCACGGCTCGAGACGGAAAGGAGTCCCTGACGTGGCTGCGATTACGGACAGGGTACCCCAAGGTTCGGAGCAAACAGAGGATTGGGGTTATGGGCAATAGGAGTCTTACCGAGTGATGGCTGCAGACGATCAGAGGGGTGGCGGCTCCCTGTTTCGGCTTATGGTAGAGAAGTCAGTTTCCCCCAGGAGGGGTCTTGAACTCCTCCCAGGTTTTCGGCACTACTTGTAAGAGTTACTGCCTAGTATAAAATGAGGAAACGGAGGCCAGTATAAGAAAATTAAATGCCAATTTATTCAGCTCCTGGGCGAGGTTCTCTGGTCCAGGGAAAGGGGCCAGAGAAGTCGAGCTGACTTCCTGGGGTGTGGGGTTTTTATGGCTATGAGGAATGAGCAATAGCTGGGTGCTCTGATTGGCTCCAGGGGAGCAGGATTGGGACGGGGCGGGCCACCAGTGGTTGTTGGGCAGGTTTTCCAGTGCCAGAGCCTTCCAGGGGAGCCATGCGGCAGAGCTAGGTGCCTAATGCAGAGGTGGGTGTGTCCGGTCTCCCGGCAAGGCAACCAGCCTTACACTTAGGTTTTAGGTCAGGTGATAGCCGGAGGTTTGAGGTTTTTCAGAACGCACGCTAAGGGACAGGGAGGAATGTAGGGCCTAAGACTGCCCCTATAGTTTAAGAGTGGCAGAGACAAAAAAAAAAAAAAGTGAATGTGCGACCAAGCAGCTTAGCAGGGGTTCCAGACTGAACCTTGGTCTGAACCTGGGGTGAATCGGTCAAAGGGGGTGTCCCCTGTGTTGATACATCACCTGTGAGTGCGAGCGAGTGACCAGAGCAGATGTCTCTGCAATAATCAGTCACTGAGGGAAGACTGTCTTCCTGGTTCCATGACCTATGTAGGATTTTTTCTGGTCATGAACCTCACGGAAAGCCCAGTCTCCTCATCTCCAGTGAAAGGGAGGGGACAGTGAAACTGAAAGGAGAAGGAAACTGTCAGAAGAGCTAGAGAAGAGTGTTGAGGCAAACCACTTACCTGATCTGAGGGTGGTGAGTGGAAGTGCAGGCGGGTCCGATGAGCCTAGGGCATAGTAGGTCTCTTCGCGGAGGAAGCACAGGGGCAGGGACGGGCTTTGGTCTCCTGTAGGAGTTCCCCCATCCTGGGTTTCAGCACCGAATATTAAAATGAGCATTCTGAATGAAGAGATCTCCCCCAAACAGGCTTTGTGTGAGCAGCATGGCTGTTTCTTCACCTGGGTTTGGGCAGGCTGAAACCAAAAAGGGCATCAGTGAGAGCAGAAGGGTAGGAGTTGGTTTTATAGGTTTGGGGTAAACAATGGAAAGTTACTGAAGTAACTTCAGGTCGGTTTTTTGCAAGCTGGAAGGGGGTCGTAGGGTGTGGAGTCTCAAGGTTGGCCAAAGTCAGCTACAAAGTCCAATGGCCTTATCAATTGAGGCGGGAATAAGAAACAATGTCCTAAAGTAGGCGCCACGGGGTTGATCATGTCTTCCTCTTTTCATGGTCTTCCAGTTACTTTAGATTTTCCAGAAACTCCTCTGGAGTGTCCCTGCAGGGGACAGAGGCTAGTTTTTCTAGGTACAGATTTTATATTTACTTTACTTAGAAATCACTGATTTTTAATCTGAGAAATACCTTTTATTGGTTCTTTTTTTCCTTTTCTGAGACAGAAAAGGAAAGCTGGAGTGCAGTGGTACAATCTTGGCTCACTACAACGTCCGCCTCCCAGGTTCAAGCAATTCTCCTGCCTCAGCTGCCCAAGAGGCTTGAATTACAGGCATGCACCACCACACCCAGCTGATTTTTTGGTATTTTTAGTAGAAACAGGGTTTCATGACGTTGGCCAGGCTGATCTCGAACTCCTGACCTCACATGATCCACCTGCCTTGGCCTCCCAAAGTGCTGGGGTTACAGGCATGAGCCACCACATCCAGCCGAATTTACATCTTTCATTGGTTCTTTTTCGAGTGCAGTGGTGAGATCTCAGCTCACTGCAACCTCCGCCTCCCAGGTTCAAGCAATTCTCTTGCCTCAACCTCCCAAGGATTACAGGCTCATGCCACTGCCACCATGCCTGGCTAATTTTTGTATTTTTAGTAGAGACAAGGTTTCACCATATTGGACAGGCTGGTCTCGAACCTCAGGTGATTCACCCACCTCAGTCTACCAAAGTGCTGGGATTATAGGCATGAGCCACTGTGCGCAGCCTCATATGTTTCTCACTCAAGAGGTAAGGAAAGCAGAGGACAAGGGAGAATCCATCCTTCTCAGCATTGTGTCTTTAAACCACCATCACCACACAGCCATCACCCCCAGAGACAAACTTGAACATCTAGACACTTGTCACTGGCCCCGTATTCACAGACATGCTACAGACTCAGCCTTTCAGGGGTGAATCCTCAGCATCATCTCAAGCAGAATGCCCACTCTCCTCTGGTGTCTGTTCTCATGATTCCTCTGGGCATCTGCCTGGCCCAGAAGTGCCTGAGGTAGGCAACATGTACAGCCTGCCCAGTCCTATCCAAGGCCCCTGCCAGAGCAGTCACCACAGCCCCCTTTAAACAGGCCAGTGGCACCATTTTGCCATTTACAAAGATCAGCTTCCTGAGACACAGACTCAAGAGTGTCGGCACCCCAAGTGTCTACCAGCCTTACCATGGCCCACCGGAGTCGTCCTGTGCCCTACCCCATACCGTGCGGCTGCTCTGTAAGCACAGGCCCTAGGATGACTCATAGACACCTCTGGAAACTTTTTTTTTTCTTCCAATGGGCCATTTTCTGGCCTATAACTGTGTAGAAACACACAGCTCTGCCCAGATGAAAAGTGGAGAGCTCCTTGACCCCTTAGATGCCTGTGTCCTATCTAGGAGGGCTAGAGGTAAGCAGTTTGCTGCTAATAATATTTGGGGGAAACCGTCTATTTCTGTAGCAGTTGTGAACAGTAAACTCAGGAAGGTTGATTGAAATGACATGTCACAGCTGCACACCACTTCCTCGGTCTTAAAAGAAAATGAAGGGCTGGCAACGAGCCCCCACCCCCAGCCATGGAAAAGCTTTAGAAATCAGAGGCCAAGAAAGCACGTTCTAAGAACAGATCCCTTGTGTGGAAAGCTCTGCGTTCGTGGCGTTTGCCCTGGTATGCTCGCTGGGTGGAAAGGAAGACTCCACACCTGTGGTGCAAGCACCTCCTCTCACCACCGCGTCCCCAGGTATAGGACCCGTGCTCTTTGTGGAGGAATAACCCTCACCTGCCCGGAGTGTATCTGTGAAGCACTGCCCAGGGTCAGGTGATTTCATTTGGTCCTTAAACTCACTCTGGGAGGGAGAGAGAGCAGGTGGTATTCGGTGGGGGTGAGGAGGCTGCAGACAGCTGCCCTGTGTTCAAAACCAGCTGACAGATGAGACCCAGAAATGGAGAGAATGTATCAGCCTTACTTCTGCACAAGTCTGGATTGGAGGATGTGTTTACAAGTGTGGCCCCGTGGCCTTGCTAAGCAGAGGTGAATAACTGCAGGTCTCCTGCAGGCTTAGAGCCTGCCTGGGGGCTTGGCAGGAGATGGCAGGCCAGCCAGACCTACCAGGTGGGCCCACATGCCCAGTGTTGCCACTACCTCCCTGGGGACAGGGCTCAGGAGTGAGCAGCAGTCCCTCCACATAGAATGAAGCCAGGGGAAGGGGAGGCCCCTCCACTCTTCAGTATTATATCTTTCATAGGCCAGGCCCTTGTGGCCTTCCAAACCATCACGACTAGTGGGATGGCCAGGGAGGACTGACCGACTCTTAGCCCGGGGCCCTTGCGTCACTCCAACAGGGCCTTGGCTTCCTCTAACAGAGCCACTTATCAAGGCCCCTCTTTCCCTGAGCACTCCTGTTTATTAGCCTGCCACACCCAGCCAGGAAGGAAGAGTCGGCCCCAACGATAGTTTGATTTATGATCTCATGTAATTAATATTAGCAGGCTGCCCACTGTCCTGCCGCTTGTCAGCAGTTCAGCAGGCACTGGAAACCTGTGCATCCTTCCATAAATTATTTAACTTCTCTAGGGTATGTAGGGATTAGATTGGTAGCTTTAAAACTTTAACAGTGGAACACATTTTATGTAATATTGATGTAAGACGTCATTAATGTGGAAAAGAAGTGGGGTTTTTAGCTTGAATGTATTAGTATCCATTGTAGACACTTTTTCAAGTCGTCCATGAGACTTCTCTTGAAGGACACAACACTTCTGAGAACCAGGGTCACGTGGGACAGTGACCTCATATGGCACTCTCATATATACACGCAGCTCCTATATATTGCCTCAGTAGCACAGTGCCAAGGAAAACCTCACCCACCCAGTTGCCTTCTCAAATTAGGCATCCGTCCAACCAATGTAGATGTTTAAGAAAGGAATAGCAGAAACATTTTACAGTTAGTCGCTGACTGCAATGACCAACTGTTCATACGAATTGCTTACTGTAAATATGGTCAGTCAAATGGTACTCAGAACTTACAGGAACTTACGGGAACTCAGAGTCTCAGAGCCTTTGACCACGCCGCATCTCCCCACCCTGATGCGCTTCAAGGGGCTCAGTGTACCTGGGCTCTGGTACCCTCACACAGCTCCACACGTGGTACCCTCACACAGCTTTACACATGGTACCCTCACAGCTCCACACAAGTGGTACACTTACACACTTTACACATGAGTACATCCTGAATGGACATCTTTTTTCAAATGACCAGTGCCCCACAGCAGCCCTCCTAGCCCATGCTTATTCACTTAAGAAGCTGAATAATATGCACAGATCTAATTAGTGGACTCTTAAGAGCTGCAAAACGTAACATCTCAGTACGAGGTAACAGATCACCAATATTCGGTGTAACCCTTTGATTGACCATAGTGTATGTTATTTTTTTTAATTGGTTTTTAAAACTATAAAACATTTCTTAATAGAATTTGAAATCGCTGCAGAGACCCCAGAACACCTCGTGCCCTGTGGCTCCACTGGACTGTCAGATCCCATCCAGTCCTGACACTCCTCCATTAGTGTGAGAAGGGACAGAAGGGTGACTGCAGCCAGGCAGGCTGGAATCCTAAAGAGGGCTGCACAGAGCCTTCAAGGATCACAGGTCCAGCAACGAAAGGCGAAGGGATGGTCATTGGGTTGGCATTTGGAGGCCCCTTCAGCCTCACAAACGTCACTGGATCCCAGGGCTGCACTGTCCAGCAGCAGCTTATCGGGCTCTCTACTAGGCCAGGCTTACACAGGTTCATGGGTCCTTGGCATCCTATCCCATGCAGCACCCATGGTGGGAGAGGAGGTGCATGGTGCTCACCCTGAGGGAGAACAGTCTTGTGATCCAGAGAGCCACCAAATGTCTAGAGCAGCCAATTTATGGAGCCATCCCCCAGAGAGACACCACCATTAGGCAGGCAGTGTGGTGTCTTCCGTGGTCGGAGACTGTCCTGGGTTTAAACTCTAACCTGCCACTTTCTCCATGATCTTATCCCATACCGCCAAGTTTCCTAGAGCTTTAGTTTGCTTTATAAAATTGGGGTGCCCGGAGGGTTCAAGAGAGCTGTGTGCTGATGTAAGGCGTTTAGCACTGCCTGTACACAGCAAGTGCTCAATGAGTAGATGCATACATACAGAATATACAAGTCACCTTTGCATGAGGGCTGACCATGTGCCAAGCATTGAACCAGGCCCTGCAGCCACACCAGCGAATTATTAAATTGTTCAAATGCATGATATTCTTTACAAAGTTATACAAGAGATGAAAGTATGGGGGCCCTAAATTGGTACATTCCTATTTGGGAAGAAGCTGAAAGCCCAACTAAGGGCAGACATCCAGGTGTCTCTAAATGAGCACTGGACTGGAAGCGCAGCCCCCAAGCCTCAGGCAGCACTCGCACACTGCAGCAGCTCAGAGCCTCCATTCTTGCCCACACAACCAGCACACCAAGCCCTGCCCACCTCCCTTCACTCGGGAGCGTCCTACTGTCCGTCCATCAGGAAGGCATCTCACCACAGTGGAACACAGGGGCGGGAATTAGGGACATCAGTACAGAAGGAAAGAGTCAAACTAGCAACAGGCTGACTAGAGCCCAGGTTGAGGAGGGAGAGGTGAGCAACCACAGTTCTTCATGACTGTGCCGTTTCCACCAACGTCCCGCATTGTGCTCCTCAGCCCCTTTGCTGAGGCTGTCTGCCCAGGTGATGCCAGCACCTCCCCCAGTCTCCCTGTGTCCTACTTTTGGAGTCATCCTGCTTCTGGCAGCCCTATTCTTTTCCCCTCATTGTGTGTCTGTCTTTTGTGGCAAAGTCTGTGGACCAGAATACTTCAACCCTCGTCAGTTTAATGGTTGCAGCTGGCCCTGAGAGGATCCAGGGAATGAGAGTGGCTCTCACTGCCTGGTGATGAGGCCAGGGAGATCATTCAGCTCCAGCCTGGCACTTCCGGCCTCCACAGGCATGGCTATGCAATGGTGCTAACACGCTTTCTACATGGAGGAAAGAGGCCTAGATGCCTGGGGCAGTCGCCGTGGGTGGAAGATGCTCTTGACAAGCATCTGTCTCAGTGCTTGGGCTCCGGGGATCTGCACCTGCCATGCTTCCATTGTTCCTTGTAGCCCGATGGGGTTGTAAGAGCTTGCCTGCACCTGGATTCCTCACCCTGGGAGGGATGTCTTTCACCCAAGCCCAGAGGAGGGACCAGCGGCAGAGGCTGGAGACTGCAAGGAGCGCTGAGGTTGGCTGTCTTATTGCAGACACAGGAGAGCAAGGCATCTGGAGTCAGGAGACCTGTGTTCTGGTTCTAGCCCATCTGCCTCGTTGGTTGGCTTCAGTTTCCTCATCAGCACAATGGAGATGCGTAGCTATGTGCAGCACCACAGTGAGCATGGGAGCCAGTGGGCACATCAGGACAAACCTTTGGCAAGTGCCCAGCACACAGCACTCCTTGTCCAAGTCAGTCCCTTGTAGGGATACAACATGCCTCATCAGTAACACGAAGGAGATGGGGCTACCTCCCACTGGACTTGGTATTATCTGGTGTGCCATCTCCATCCATCTCTAGGAGTCTGGCCTTACCAGGATGCCTAGAGCATCTGGCTGTGTGGAACTCGGGCACTTCTGAGTGGCCAAGTGAGTTTCCTGCTTCCTCCGAATTGTCCGTCAGATTTTGATTGCTTGCTCAACTCATGAGGAATGCCTGCCTGGGCATGTCATAAGGCTCAGGGCGTCGATTACAGTCTGGGAAGAAGGAGAGAGCCACACCTGCCAGGGTCCCCAGGGAGCCAGGCCAGCCCCGAGAATCCTCCAGAGGAAGAACCAGGAGACATGAACTCAGTGCCAGCTCCTAGCCCCCCTCTTCCCTCCCTGGGCCTATGTCCTTTCCTCTAAAATGGGGGGTCATGGTGTATTTTCCCTGCTTCTCATGCACGGCAATGGGAGAAGGGGGAGTCAGTGACTCCCAGTGTGTCTAAGGGACAGTGCTGATGGAGGTCAAGACCTGGGATGGTCTAGGCTTGCAGCCTGCAGCCCTGGTCGCACCACTGGCTGGGCAGGCCCGAGTTGCCATGGTAGAAACAAGATGAGGGGGACTGCAATCTGAATATTGATTCTCCCTCCTCTGTCCAGCCCAGGTCTGTCCAGGGAGAGCAGTGGGTTTGGGTTACAGACTTGCGGTCCAGTCCCACGTCTGGTCAGCTATGACCCTGCATCATCAGTCGGTAAAGTGGAGGCGACTGTGCCCACCTGTGAGTTAACACCTCTTTGGTTGCAAATAACAGAAACCAGCCCCAGCCTGCGAGCTGCCTCACAGGATCCTGTGACCCTGTGGACCCTGCAGGCAGAAACACTGCCAGGCCCTGGGTATAATGGCCCCAGGGTCTCAGTGCTGTCAGGAACCCCTCCTGCCTGCCTCTGGACAGCACCTCCTGCTCTTGGGCCCTGCACCCTGGCTTTCTCTGTATGTTGCGTCAAATGGTGGTGAATGGCTGCCAGCAGCTACCAAGTCCACAGGTCACAGCCTAGGACACTGGGTCCCCTCCATGTCTGTCTGTCTGTCCGTCCATCCCCTGCTTTGTGTCCTGTGATTCTCCCTCTCAGGCAGCCACCCTAAACCAATCAGCAGTGGCTGGGGACAAAGCCAGTGGGTCCAGGTCTCTCCCTTGCAGGTGGGGTGAAGTATCAGAGATACAACATGCCTCAGCAGCAGCAGGAGACGAGGTCACCTCCCAGCCGAGGAGGGCAGGAGAGGCTGGCATCTCACTGGAGCTGAGGATGCCAGCAGCCGAGCAGCCCTCTCCCCTCACCTACCAGGGCACTTGGGCAAACTGCCTCCCTGCAGTGCGGCCATCCGCCCTTCTGTAATGTGGAGGAATGCCTCCGCGCTCCCTCCTGCAGTTCCGCTCTGCTTGTTCCGGAACAGATGATAACAGAGATGGAGCATATGGGCCCCAAAGTCACCCGACATTATGGGAAAGTGACATTGTGTTACCCCGGGCTTGGGGGGAGGGGCCCGTCACTGTGAGCACAGCTTCTCCCTTTGTTCTTCAGAAGGGCACAAGGTTGCCCCTCCTGAGAGGAAGTGTGCACACCTGGACTTCAGGGAGGATTTCCTCTGTCTAGGCAGCGATTTGGGAAAGCAGCCATAGGGTGGGCATTTATATGGGGAGGAGAACATGGTGGAAGCCAAAGTCCAGTCCTTCCTGGGCCACTCCTGCCTCAGCCACAGCCCAGGCCTGTCACCCACAGGGCCTCACCCAGCCTGACCTCCATGGTCCCCGCAGCCTCAGGTCCCGCAGGTATGTCAGGAGCTCCCAGAGTGCTGCGAGCAGATCATGGGAAGTGCCCAGCTGGGCTCCAGGCCTAGCTCCACCCTGGCCTTAGTGGGTCCCTGCCCAGGGTTGGGTGTCTTGGCATTTTTGAATCCAAGTTTCCTCCTCCTCATCACAACTCTTACAGTGCTCTGTGTGCCTCTGACCTAGACCCACGCACAGTGCCCCCAGGGCAGGTTTTTAAACCTCAATTGGGAAGGCTGGGGGCAGGCACTGCTTAGGCATTCTTCTCTTGTCCCCAGCAGGTCTGACCTGTGGTCCAGAGGGGCCCTGCCGTCCCCTGTTCTCCCCAGGCCTGGTCCTTGACAGCCCCTGTGGACACTGAGGTTGGGACAGCCAGGGTCCACATCGCTCTTGGCTTTGTGATGAGCTCATGGCGATGCCTTGCAGCTCTTCAAGCAGGCTCTCGGGCTGCAGTCCAGGCTGGGTGTGTTGGGAGACCCACCCTCAAAGCCCAGCTCAGGCTGTGCAGGCAGAGGACAGGCCCAAGAGGGGCTGAGAAAGCTGGAGGGAGCAAGGAAGCAGGTGCTGGATGTGGAGGGAAAAGAGCTGGGGGGAGGCACAGGGTCCCTCCTCTCCTGCATTCTCTCTCCTCGCTGTGGCTCCCCAAGTCTTACCGTGCAACTTGCAAAGCTTTTGGTAGGCGAGAAAGCCACCAGGTGTAAGTTCCTAGACGAGAAGCTGCTTAGTGAAGAGAAGGAAAGAGAAGGCTCTTCACGTTTTCTTTCACCTGACTTGTGGCCTGGCAACCTTGGGCTGTCCCTGCTTTTTTCTGACCTTCCCTAGGAATTCCCAGGAGGACCCTAAGATTGTGGATATAAATCTTGGTGCTTCAGGACAGCAGAAAAGAGAACTGGCTAAACAGAACCTGGCCTGCCTGTGGGCCAAGTGGGTTAGAACCAGAGGCAGGACACGGGGCAACCGTGCCAGCTCCAGAGTCCAGCGCCCACCAAACTTCTCACCAGGAACCCGTGATCCTGTGCACAGCCCAGCACATTCTTCCTACCCCTCCTTCCCCTGACATGTTGGCCCTCCCTCTGGCCGCAGGTAATGACTTCTTTATAGGAGAGCTGTAGACAAAGGAGAGAACTAACGGGGACTGACACAGCCTCTGGCGAGACGATTCTTTGGTCTCTGGGCAGCAACTGAACCAGAAAACTGGCAACACAGGAGCCTAGCCTTGGCTGATGGGCTGTGTGAGCGATGCCGGGCAGAGGAAGGGCCAGGCAGAGTGTGCGGTCAGGACAGGCCCTCGCCCTTAGCACTTTCCAGGCCGGTCCCAGCCTCAGGAAGAGATTGCAGAGCCTGAGGTGTACCAACTAGCACCACAGACAGCTGGTGCTGACTACCAGTGCGTCACTGCCCGTCCCTGGGCCTCAGCTATCTAGGCTGTGAAACGGAGCTGATGGCCACCCTCATTACCTCACAGGGTTATCGGGGAGAGATCGGATCCAGGCTGAATGCAGGCCCTGGAAAGTGCAGTGAGCGCTCGAGTCCGCGGACTGCCTATCACAGCCTCCTCCTCTTCCCTGCAGGGCCACCCGTTCCTCGTGCAGTTCAATGACGGAAATGCCACTGTCGTGTCCATGTGGGTGTGCAGGGCGTTGGAGGAGCGGCGGAGCCAGCAGGGATCCCCATGAAGCCGCAGTGGGGAGCTGAAAGCCCAGGACTGGTCACCAAGGAGAACCACCCACCTATCACCCTCTCCATAGGCTACCTGCGCCAGAAGAGCTTTGCTGGGCCCAGGCTTCCCTGCCCTCACCTTCGTCTCTGCCAGCAGGGGGCCTTACCTGGGGCCACGTGTGGCCTGCCCCACCAGGCCCTCCCTACACCTTCTGGTCTGGAGACGCCGACGCTGGCAGGGCATAAAGGGTGGGGCAGTGAGAATGGAGGCACCCGGGGCCCCTGCCCACTTCTATTTTCCTAACCTTTTTCTCTGTAAAGGGTTAGGCCCGTCAGCATCACTGATGGGAATAAAAGTATTACTGCTTTGTGACAGTCTCTGACATGAGGGTTGTGTTGTCTAGTGGGTCTGTCGCCCCCCCCCCAGAGCCGGGGACAGATGGGGTCTCCACTTCAGCAGGGATGTGTGTGACAGTGCCAGCTGCCCATCCAGGTACCTGCAAGCGCCCTGCTCGCTCCTCGCAGTGCTGTGCTAAGGCCCACAGCCCAGCTCTGTTGTCAGACGCGAGACAGAAGCACGGCGGCACTCGGACGGGTCCCATGGCAGGGAGTCGGCCTGGATCTCAGGCCCCCACCCTGAGCTCCTCCCTGAACTGCCAGACATGTCCACTCGACCTCTGTGGCCTAGGAGGGAGTCGGCTGTTCTGAGAGGCCCTCTCCACTCCCACCCCCACCCCTTGACCCCATAGCTGCCACTCCTCTCAGGCAATACCCTCAGTCATGTGCCAGGTTAGCCTGGCTACCCCCATTTTACAGGTGAGGAGCTGAGGCTCCAAGGGTCCCAAGTTTCCACTCGGAGGTCTGAGCAGCATCTCAACATGTCCAAAAGCAAATTCCTAATCCCCACCCCGCCCGGACCTGTTCCTATAGCTTTGCTGTCTCAGTAAATGGCATCTCCATCCTCCCAGTGCCCAAGCCATTTGGCGCTCTCAAAAACACCAGGACATAGCCTTGACTCCCTTTTCACCCCCATATCCAGCCTGCCAGGAAGGCCTGCTGTCCTTGCCTTCAAAGAATATTGGTTCCTTCGCCTCAAATTCTCTCTTGACTCCAGCCAGTTGGCCTCCATGCTGCTCCTTGAATATCTGGGCACATCACCACCCAGGGTCACAGCAGAGACGTCTAGCCATGGAAGGGTCACACTCCCTCCATAGGCTACCACGTTGCTAGGGAGCCGCTGCCCAGCTGAACCTCCAGCTCATGGGTGGGATTGGGGCTATTATAAAAGGGTGAGTTAGGGGCCAGGCACAGTGGCTTTGGCCTGTAACCCCAACACTTCGGGAGGTTGAGGTGGAGGATTACTTGAGCCCATGAGTTCAAGACCAGCCTGAGCCAACATAGTGAGAACCTGTCTCTAACAAAACTTAAAAAATTAGCAAGGTGTGGTGGTGAATGCCTGTGGTCCCAGCTACTAAATGAGCCATGATGGTGCCACTGCACCCCAGCCTGGATGACAGTGAGACCCTGTCTCAAAAATAAATAGGCTAGGCACAGTGGCTCATGTCTGTAATCCCAGCACTTTGGGAGGCCAAGGTAGGTGGATCACCTGAGGTTGGGAGTTTGAGACTAGTCTGTCCAACATGGAGAAACCCCATCTCTACTAAAAATATAAAATTAGCCGGGTGTGCTATCGCATACCTGTAATCCCAGCTACTCAGGAGACTGAGGCAGGAGAATCGCTTGAACCCAGGAGGCGGAGTTCACCACTGCACTCCAGCCTGGGCAACAAGAATGAAACTCCATCTCAAATAAAGTTGAATTGAGCTAGGTAGGGACTCAGTTATTTTGATTGGGGTTTTACATGTCACTAGCAGCTAGTACCACGCCAGCTAAGGTCGGCCTTCACACTTGGTGCCTGGAGCAGACGTCCCCCATGCGCCCACATGGCTCACCTCTACGTCCTGCAGGTCTCAGCTTAAATGGCATCTCAGTGAGACCCACCTAAGCACTCCAAAATCGCAACCTCCCGCACCTGCCCTGGGGCCGCATGTGCCCCTCACCTGCACCACTTTCCTCTACCGCAATTAGAACTATGTGACACTCCACTTATTTTCTCTTCGGTCTCCTTCCTCTCCTGCCCTCCATTAGAATGGGGTCTCCACAAGGGCAGAAATTCTGGTCATGTGAAAAACATGGTATCCCCAGTACAAAGAACAAGACCTCAGCTCTGGGCAATGTGTGTGGGTCAAATGGCCAAAATGGTGGACTCTGCATACCCAGGAAAGGGCACCCTGTGTGAGGCATCACGTGGCTTCCCAGGGTGGGGTCAGATCATCTTTTTCATAACACTTTTCAAGGCACAGGCCTCCAGCTTTCTCTGAGCACCTGCCATTTGCCTGGGGCTTGGAAGGTCACAGAATTGGATGGGGCCACGGCCATGAAGACCGTGCTCCCTGGCCCAGCGCTCAGGGCGGGGAGAGCTGCGGGCAGCACCGTGTGATGGACTTTCTCAGGAAGAGGCTCTCAGAGAGTGGGGAAAGCTCAGGGACTCCCACACGGGACTGCCCCAGAATGTGAAGCAGCCACCACCCAGACTAAAGCATGTCCTCATTTTAAGACGATCCATCCAACAAGCCAAGGGCGGTAGGAAGAATGAGCAGGTCCCATGCTGGGCAGTGTGCTCAGGGCTCACTCTATCAACTTGTTTAATCCCCACCATGATCCCCGGAGGTAGATGCTGAGACGATTATTCTGCCCATTCTACAGATGAAGGAACTGAACCATTGGCCAAGTGACTTACCCAAGGTCACCCAACAAATAGCAAAGCGCTGTTTGGGACTCAGAGCACCACTCGTAATCACGGCTCTGCTAGTCAACTCCACACACAGCACACATATGTGCACACACGTGTACACACGCACACACCTTGTCCTCTGCCACAGAGGTTCCCAAACTCTGGTTTGCCGAGATAATGCTAATACCTTTGGGAAGGGGCCAAGGATCTGCAATTTGACCAGCTCCCCAGGGATATGGGTGCAGAGCGCCCCCCACAGCACCGAGAGACTCTGCTCTTTGACCAGCTCCCCAGGGATATGGGTGCAGAGCGCCCCCCACAGCACCGAGAGACTCTGCTCTTTGACCAGCTCCCCAGGGATATGGCTGCAGAGCGCCCCCCACAGCACTGACAGACAGTGCTCCAGATGCATGCTTTGGCCCAGAGACCAGCTTTCAGGGTGATCTTGAACAAAGGACGTCTCCTGCCTGAGTCTGTTTCCTCATCCGTCCATGCGGGGGTTGATCTCACTGTGTCCCCGGAGCACCTCCCAGCCCTGACATCCCAGAGCAGAATTCTCACCACTTGGGCTCATCCCGTGAGCACCCTTGCCCCTTAATTACATCACCCACATGCACGCACAGAATTTTGTTCACAACTTTAGGGTTCGTGGAGACCCTGGAGCCCACTCACTTATGACCTCTAGTCAAGGGTCCCTGCTTTGGGGTAGCCCCCAACTATAAATTCCCCTGTGGCTTGAAGTTAGGAAGATGGGGAGCCAAGTGACTCCTGAGGGGTCCTCGTGCTACGACCCCTCTGGCTGGAGGCGGGTTCCTCTTTGGCCTGCTGAAGTGCTTCCTCCAGTCACCCTTGGGGGCCAGAGGCCAAGCCGCCCCTGCCCTCAGAGGTCATGGGAGGGCTGAGACCTAGAACACCGCAGTGCCAGACAATGGTCTGGCCAGCACGCGCTTGTCCCCTGCTGGAAATCCACCCCCGCCCACCCTCACCCACACCCCATCCACGTGACTAATTCCTTGTCTTCCTTTCAGGCCCCTCTCAAACGGGCACCTCCTCTTGGCAGCTTCTTTATTTCCTTCTCTGGATATACACTGAGCCCCTCAAGGGCAGGGTGAGGCTGACTCGCCTCTATCCCAGGACCTGGCCCAGGACCTGCACAGGGAGGGTGCCTGCGGCGTGGGAGGGCAGGAGGAGGGAAGGTAGGGTGCAGGGATGAGGCCCTTGGGGACTGTCACTGTCCTGCTTGGACCCCTTGCTCCAACCCTCATTATCACCCATTCACTTTCTAACCGTAGCCTTTGAGAGGCCAGACCCTCATTGGAGGCAGCCTCAGGCCTCTCAGACCTTCAGGGGAGCCTAGAAGGGAGTGTTTCTGGGACTCTCCCAGGCCAAATCCTCAAGTCCTCACAGGACTCCCAGATCACAAGGAGAGATAGGGGCCTCCTTTGCTTCTAGGGCCCCGGCTTGGAGAACAGGAGACCCCTCACACTCAGCCCACTGTCCCTGATTCTGTGTGGTTTTCCCATGTGGGAAATGCAGGATACAGAATCCCAGGGCTTCAGAGATGCTCCAGGAAGTCTGTGGGGGCGGAGGGAGGAGAACTGGAACCCTCTTCTCCGGGTGTGGTGGAGGCCCTGTGGTGCCAAGCAGTGTGACCCAGAGCCCTTACCCAAGGCCCAGCCCCACTGGGGGTGGTCAGGCCAGTGCGAGCTGGGCTGGATGGTACAGCCTCACTGAGGGAAGCTGCAGGTGCCCTGCCTGAGCAGACCTGCATCTTTGGGGGGGCATATGCTTCCAGGTGTCAGGCCAGGGTGGAACCTCCGGGTGAAGCCTTGGGGTGATGCTGGGCCTGCTGGCTGGCCCCCCATCACACAGGGTGGTTCAGAAGGAGCTGGACAGCTGCCTCCACATAGGATGAGCCCAGAGAGGGCCATGATGCCACCTCAGAGCTCTTTCCCGTGACTGCTGCCCGGACTCCCCCTTGGAGCTTCAACCTTTAGCTAAGTCTGGCCCCTATTACAATGGGAGCCTGGCCAGGTGCAGTGGCTCTCACGTGTAATCCCAGCACTTTGGGAGGCTTGGGTGGGCTCAGGGGTTTGAGACCAGCCTTGGCAACATGGCAAAACCCTGTTTTACAAAAATAAGCCAGGTGTGGTGGCATGTGCCTGTCGTCCCAGCTACTCAGGAGGCTAAGGTGGGAAGATCACCTGAGCCTGGCGGGGGAGCATGCTGCAGTGAGCTGTGAGCCCGCCACTGCACTCCAGCATAGGCAACAGAGACCCTGTCTCAAAAAAAAAAGAGCGGGGCTGTGGGGGAGAATGGGAGCCTATGTTCTCAGTCACAGAAATGTCCTTGAGAAAGAAGGGCATAGAGGGAGGATGGTGGGAGGGAAAGACAGTCCCAGGTCCCAGGGTGAGGGAGGGAGGCAGTGCCCAGCAAGTGGGCAGAAGAGCGTGGAGAGGGGAGCTGCACCGGCTCACAGCAGCCCAACTCCATTCCTGGGGCCAGGTGGATCCCTAGGACTGCACCCGGACCAGGTCCCTGCTTCTACTTTGGGGAAGCAGCAGTTCAACCCAAGTGCAGGTGG